ATCCTAGGACAAGTCTAGTCCTCCTGTGTCCCCCTGATTCTCTTATTTTCTAAATGAGAATAAAATTGCATTAGTGTCCATGATCATGGAAACAGTCATGTAAGACCCTCAGACCCGGGAAGGGCAGATGCTCAATGAAGGCTACATGCTAACTCGGGCTTTCTGGGGGTCTACACACACTGAGACCTGGGACCAGCTCTATGGTTTAGTAACCAGCCATTTACCCTAAGCACCACACCCCTGCCTCCTCTGATTGGAGCACTCTGGCTCGGTCATACTTCATTTAATTCAGTCTATCCGGATGGCCACCTTATATGGAGGCTTTACCATTACAGGACACACCATGGTCAACATCTTTATGACATATTTGATTTTTCTCTGTAAGTAAACCATTACTGATGATAAAGTCATCATTTGCTGTGTGTGCCAGCCAGAAGTGCCAGTACTGGGGAGGAGATGAGACAAGAATATCTCAAGTTCAATGCCACCCTGGGCTACAGAGCTACAAACCCAACCTAAAACCAAAGCAAGAAAGACAGCTCCCACAATGGTCATATAGTCAGTCAGCACCCACTGAGTTGTCATAGACACTCTGTGGTGGGAATTGCATTGTACACAAGAGAAGATACGGCTTCAGGTGATAAGGTCATAGAGTTTTATACGTTGTTCCTTTTTGACATTTCTTTTTCTCTTCCTTCCTTCCTCCCTTCCTTCCTTCTTTTTTTTCTTTCTTTCTTTCTTTCAGTCGTCAGATTTCCAATGACTTCCGGGACCTGCCCACCCTTCTCATCCATGGGGCAGAAGCTTTCCTGATGTCCCTCATCATTGGGTTTCTTTACTACGGCTATGAGGGCAAGCAGCTCTCCTTCATGGACACGTCAGCTCTCCTGTTCATGATAGGAGCGCTCATTCCTTTCAATGTCATTCTGGATGTCGTCTCTAAATGTGAGTGTCACCTGCCCTCCTCACCAGACTGCAGGGCAGTGGGACAGCCTCCCCATGCGCTGCTCTGAGGCTAACCTCCGTACTCCCCCGGCATCTTGGAACAATGGCTTTATGGAACCATTTCATCATGGTGGTGTAATGAGTGCAGCGACTGTTTTGAAAGTTTGCACACTAATATTAGCACGTGGCACTAATAGTACCGCAGTGTCTTAGTGCTCTCCATCCAACCAGAGTTTGTGTTTGTCAGTGACTTGCTGCAGTCAGTACTGGGGAGCTCCCCAAATACTTGGGGTACAATGGTGTTCCTGTGCCTGTGATTAAAACAGCATATAAACAGATTCAGAAAGTGTAACTACTTTCTCCGGCAGTGCCGGGGATTGAACCCACAGCTTTGCGAGGGCTGGGCAAGTGTTCTGCCTCTAAGACTCCCAGCTTCATATCCCTGCTTTCAATGACATTACAAGAGATGCAACATGGGTAGCACTGTAGACGGCCTTCACTCACTCACTTCCTTCTCCCCATCTCCAGGTCATTCGGAGAGATCAATGCTGTACTATGAACTGGAAGACGGGCTGTACACTGCTGGTCCGTATTTCTTTGCCAAGGTCAGGACTGGGAGAAAGTGCCGCAGGGCACTGGACACACTGGAGCAAAGAAAGTTTTACGGAAACACTCAGCCGTGCAGTCTCTAGAAGAGTTTCAGAGACTTGCTAGTCATTAAACTGTCCCCAGAAAGGCCAGGGCTGTGCAGCAGAAGTGACACTTTTAGAAGCGGGCAACACCAAGCAGAAGGTGCTTCCCTGAGCAAGCCAGGCAAGCGTTTCCGGGATGAGGCTCAGGAGATTGTATGACTAATAAAGCCACACAGCTACACGGTCTGGGCAGGAAGGGTGGGGCATCAGGCTGGGTATTAGCAGAGCGTATACCAGCCGTCTCCATGGAGCACAGTTTGGAATGCGCCTGCAGTGACAGCTTGCTGAGAGGTCAGAGACAGAGGTCTTCCCCGCCACCCCCTCACTGAGAAGGAACATTGACATCCTAGGCGTTGCTACTCTTTAAAACGTCTTCAGATAATAGCAAACACTGGTGTTGGCTCCATATCCCAGGAGGGTGTGCTTTGCAGATCCTGGGAGAGCTGCCGGAGCACTGTGCCTATGTTGTCATCTATGCGGCGCCCATCTACTGGCTGACCAACCTGCGGCCGGTGCCTGAGCTCTTCCTCCTACACTTCATGCTTGTGTGGCTGGTGGTCTTCTGCTGCAGGACCATGGCCCTGGCCGCCTCCGCCATGCTGCCCACCTTCCACATGTCCTCCTTCTTCTGCAATGCCCTCTACAACTCCTTCTACCTTACCGCTGGCTTCATGATAAACTTGGACAACCTGTGGATAGGTGAGGCCTGCCCCCTCTGAGCTTAGCCCCCTCCTTGCGTAGGCCTCTGTGGCTGCTTAAGTGCACGCTATGGGACAGGTAACACGTCCTCGCAGCCATCACGCACACCCAGAGGTCACCTGACTCCCTCACATTCACCGGTGAGCCAGGCCTGAATAGTCCCTCAGTTTCATCATAAGTCTGCCCTCATCACTGAGCCCAGAGTCACCATAATCTTTTGGCCATAGTTGGTGGCCTTTGCAGTGTTCACCTATGCAAAGTGAGCTTCCTGAGGGACAGGTTCCTGTCCCCACTTGTTCAAAGCCTATCAGAGCTGCTAGTTCCTGATGCCCCCGACTCCCCAGCTCTTGTGAAGCCTCCAGCACCTCTGCCTTCTCACTGTGGAGCCAATGGGGCTGTTTTTCTGTATACACCGTTTTCCAGCTTTGATACCCTCTCCTCAGCCAGTCTTTGCTGACATCTGAGTGGAGCTTGCAACTTCCTCCTCTCCCAGCAGAGTGCTCCCCATGTCAGGGTCCTCCTCTCCCAGCAGAGTGCTCCCCATGTCAGGGTCTCTAGTGTGGTGGTGTCTGAGTACCCTGTGAAGCTGAGCACAGGTAGCATATAATGAAATGACTGTCCAGAATAAGCAGCAATCCAACATGTAAGTCACCAATCCTTGGTCCTCCCTCCTCGTCTCTTTTGCCCTTTGGTCCATAGAGGACTCTTCTGGCAATAGCCAGCATGTCTCCTCTCTCCAGGAGAGCCTAAGGCTTGCCCTGAGGCTTGCTCAGGGCTGCTGAGACCACGTGAATAACGTAGCTCTTGCTGTCTTCAGTACCTGCGTGGATCTCCAAGCTGTCGTTCCTCCGGTGGTGCTTCTCAGGGCTGATGCAGATTCAGTTTAACGGACACCTTTACACCACACAGATCGGCAACCTCACCTTCTCCGTCCCCGGAGACACGGTACGTAGTGAAGGATGGGAGTTCTAAATCCAAGTGCTACTGAGGGACAGCATCCTTGGGCGCTCACCAAATGCCTGTGTCTGCAGATGGTCAGCGCCATGGACCTGAACTCACATCCACTCTATGCTATCTACCTCATCGTCATCGGCATCAGCTTTGGCTTCCTGTTCCTGTACTACCTGTCCTTGAAGTTCATCAAACAGAAGTCCATTCAGGACTGGTGACACTCACTCAGCCTTGCTCCCACTGGTGGGACCCTTCTCCTTGGGCTGGCTGCCCCTGAGGAGACTGGGGACAAGGATCACACAGATTTCAGCAGCAGCCAAGTCTTGGTGCTGCAGTGACACAGGACAGCCACAGGATGGCAGTAGAATAAAGACAGTTGAGAGATGTTTCTGCTCACAGGCCTGGGCTAGAGATGGGAGAACCAGGTACTTGGACCTGCAATGTTGCTCATTCATTTTATATGTTTATATAAACAACCCAGTATGGAATGGGAACCAATTATACATGAATTGAGTAGCTAGGTTATGCAGAAATGTTTGGAATCCTGAGAGAATAGTGGTTTATAGCAGAACATTTAGCTTTCTCTTCTACCATTCTCACACTGTTAAGCCACTCCCAGTACAGAGGGCCACTCTTCTCTTATCTCTGTGTGGATCCATGGACTCCAACCCCCAAAGTTGGACAGCTGAGAGTTAATTGAGCATCTACTCAGTAGGTATGGTATAAAGCGTGGTGTGTGGCTAGTGTTTATTCTCAGAACAACCCACTGATGTGAGCAGCATCCTGTTATAGTGGTGAGGACACCGTGGCAAAGACAAATCCAGTTGTCTCAGCTTACAAGCTGTTTTGTGATGGAATCAAAAAGACATTGAGGCCTTTGGGAGTTACAGAGCAAAAGAGCAGGCCTGAGATGCCTCTAGGAACAGTTTGCAGAGTTTGTGTGAGCTCAGCCAGGCCTCAGAGTTGCATCCCCCTCGCTGGGGCTCAGGGTCAGCTTTGAACCTTTCACAGTGGCCAGAGGATGGGCTGCTACACACCCAGGTTGTGTGCTTCATGCCTGTGTTGAGGACCACTTAACCCCCAACTCAAAGCATAGAGCTGGGGAGGGCTTGCTCCCAGAGGAAAACAAGTCTAGAACTGAAAGAAACAGCGGGAGGGTGTTTTAGATTGGGAGAGATGCTCTCCATTGGTTCTCCAGATCCTGACTGTGTCCGGCATGGCTCCTGGCCAGCCTCATAACAACACTGGATGCTGATGAGGTAGGCAGAATCCCAGGACTGCCCAGACCCATGTACTCAGCACTGTGTTCAGATTACACCACTGACCCCAGTGTGTACTAGGTTCCACAGTATACTGTCCTTCCCCAGCAGCCAGTGGCTTCAGGGAGTCCACACATCCCTGCTGCCACCATCCATTGCATAGATGTCACTCAAGAACCACAGAGTCCTTATCCAGGGCAGAGTCAAAAACATCCTCCGATTGTTTCTTTCAGTTTGGAATAGCTAGCTCCTCGGTACCCCCTAACTTTCTAGGGTAGCTTTCAATTTGGATTTAATCTGGTGCATTTCTCAATTAAATCCAGGCTGGGCCCCTTTGGTCAGAATATCCAGAAATGGAATTGGTTTTTCCTTTGCATGTCCCGCCAGGCGGCTCATGGTTTCCACTTGCTGCATGCTGCTGACTTTGATTGCCTGACAGAAGGCACGTCTGCTGGACCCCTCCATGCTCCTCTGTTCCCTCTTTTCATAATAAAGCTTTTGGATGCCATGCCTGGAGACCATGATTTGTTCATTCTTCATCCAGCCTTCCACACTTCCTGACTTAGTGCTATGCATTATATACTTGTGGAATCCCATTTTAATTTAGCAAGTTGTAATTGGTTGCCATCTTTCGTTTGTGTGCTCGGATTGTCCCTGATTTAGCCAGTGAAATACTCAAGCTGACTTCTATATCTTCTTAATCATGTTCCTGTCATTGACTGGGAACTCGGACAAAACAAAGTATTTGGGGATCATCTCCAGTTTTCCCAGCTCTGCCCTGGGATTGGATGCCTCTCTGTAGAAGCTGGACTATTTAGTGGGAAAAGATGGTTAGAAACCAAGATGTGAATAATGAGTCTGTTCTACTGCCACGTATCGCTGCTTCAGGACTCTCAGTGGGCAGTGAGTGAACACATGTGCATATGTGTACTCAGTCCTAACTGCATATATGTTCATGGACATACCCTGTAGTTCATCCAACACTCACTCTATCAGCTCTGCCTTCCCCAGTGTCTGTGTGGGAGACATCCAGCTTCTGTGTGCATTCCTCTTGTGACGAGTCTGTTTGTACTCTGTCTTTGGCTCATTCCTCAAGTATGACTGTCCCTGTATCTGCAGAGCCTCTAGCCCATTCTTCACCCCCTCCCAGATCCCAGCTCTGTTTTGGTGAGCCACTGTCTTTAGGCCTGGATGAAGAAGTGCAGAAGAGGAAGGTTGGCAGCCATATGACTTTGTAAGTTTGTCACTCAGTGTGCTGTGGTACTCAGAACTCAGGGCACCAAAGATGCTGAAACTCAAGCAGTGCTGGTTCTTCAGAGCTTGTCCCCAGAGCAAGAGTCCTCCATCATGTCTTGGTGCATCATAGCTGGTGTTGATGTACCCTAGACTCTGCCTCTGTGGGGTTGTTTGATTGAAAAGTGTTCTCCAGGGCACACAAGGCCTGGGAAGAGCATGGTCTGGGCACTAGGAACACCCAATACTATCCAATGTCCCTTATCCTTCATTGCAAAGGGGTAGAATTTTCTTGTGGGCTGTAAATTTTAACTGTTAAGGATATTTTAGGCTTTTATTTGATAGCCACATAGCCTGTCGTATGCTGTCCTGGTGTGAAAACTGTCCCAACCGCAGTAGACTGGAGTATGTGGGTATGTTCCAATAAAACAGCTTACAGAAGCACACAGCTCCTGGACTTGGCCTGAGGCTTCAGCTTACAGATTCCTGATCCAAAGATGGAGGCTTTAAAATGTACATTGTAAACTCTCCAAATTCAAGTTACACTATTAATGGAAGACTAACAACTAAACTGAAAATAATCACCTATGTCGACTCCAATATTTCTTGTAATTTTTTAAAACCACTCTTGCTCTTATAAAAATTACTTCCCTAGGTTGAGACTACAGGGGTAGATACCCTGCTTGCTTTTTTTTAGCTCATTCTTAAAAATCTTCTCTTGATCTAAGATTAAACTACTCACACACAGAGAACATACTGAAAATTATGTCAAATCCAAGTGGCAGCAAACCTGTGCCCAAGGGTCCTTCCAACACTCAAATTAGTTACTGAGCAGAGCTTGCCCTGGCACAGGGGACCAGCTTCCTTAGGACACACCTGCCATGAGGCACAGGGAGGGAGCCAGCTGCCAAGGAAGCAAGTCCTTGGATATTTTGCTGCTGACATAGGTGTAGTTGGACAACAGTCAGTGTGTGTGCCTGAAAATGTCCTTATTTGCAACTAGTTGGCTCCAATGTCACCTCTGATGTCACTTGTATTTGATAAACTGGCCCTTCATCGAGGGTGGTCCAGGTGAACAGCAGGGGTAAAGAGCTTGGTGGCAGGGAAGATAATGAAGTCAGAAGCCTGAGGCTCAAGCCGCAACACCCAAACCTAAAACAAAAATTCCCAGCCATGGTCCAAAGCAACATTCTGCATCCATGTTAGGGAGGGCAGGCTGGAGAGTGCAGCAGCGTGTGGGCTTCTAGCTCGGAATTAAACAGAAGCATCCAGGGAGTGGGTTGGGCTTTCTCAGCACACGCCAGCTGCCTACTGGCTAGGTGACCTGTTTATTGTATATGACAGTCTTGTCTGTAGAGTTAAAGTGTTCTTTCTCCAAACTGAAAAACAGCTCTGCTGCTCCTTGCTATTAAAAAAAAAAAAAAAAAAAAAAAACCCTTTTTTTTTTTTCTGTTAACTTCATTTCTGCAGCACTGAATCTCTGTGCTAGGTCTGACTTCAGAATACAGTTGAAAGGTTGCCTCCTCTTCTGACAGTAACAAGTATCTGAGGTCACCAACTTACAGATTTCAAATCATGATCAGTTGGCCTCACTGACAGCTTTTGGGTTCGGAGGACTCCTTGGGCCTCAGATCCACTGTCCCATCTGAGCCACGTTTCAGGGACCAAAGAATAGCACATGGAGGGGAACTGTCCAGTGTGTACAAACCTGGAATTTTGTAAACAGAGCTTGCAAGGAAACATGGCCTCAAATCCATGAGACTCATTCCGTGAGACCTACTGTGAACCCACCAATAGGTCTGCAGAGCATTAGGAGAACTGGGGGCCTTGGAAAGAATAAACAGGTGAAGAATGGTTTCCAGTGGCTGCCCAGGGCAGGGTGGGCGAAGATGGATTTCAGCTCCAGCTACTGTCCAAAGCAGCTTGCAAGAGAGGAGTCTGGAGTCTAGTCTGTCTTACCTGGCGCTGATGTTTTTATTCTTTATGCAAAAAAGAAGTGCCTGCTTTGAATTTGCTAATGCAGCCATTTTCTTTATTTGTACTAAGGCTGCATAATGTGGGCTTTGTAAAGTTGGCTGGCCTGAAAGCAGTATACATTTCTAATGGAAACACTCCCACACATGGTTGTACACCAGCAAAGCGATAAATTACTGTGATTTTGGACCTCCTGTGGTTATCAGTTCCCCCACATTTGAGCAAATGTTGCTTTTGCTTAGAAATTCTACAAATATCTTTTTTTCCAGAAAGGCAAATATTAAATGAAAATTGTGCTGAAAGCCACGAGGGAAAGTGTGCAGAATGTATACACTGTAGACTGGAGGCTCAAATTATACCACAGAGTGATTTGCAACATAAAGCTTGTTTATAATTTGCTGAGGCTCGTAAACTTGATTATACCGAGCACTGGCTATTGGATTAAAGGGAAGAAAATGTTTTTCAGTGTAAGATGTCCAGAAACTGGGAACACTGTATTAGTGTGAAGGGCGTTTTGTCGTCTAAACTCCATTCTGACTTTTAGCTGGACTGCCTTATTTTTGTATTCTCATGTTTTTTGTTTGTTTGTTTTTGTTTTTGAGACAGGTTCTGTATAGCCATGGTTAGCCTTAAATTCAACACCTACCTGCCTCTGTTTCTCAAATGCTGGGATTAAAGGCATCCACAACTATGCCCAGTGGGAAAGACTGAAAAATACATTTTTATTTTACATTTGTTTTGCCTGCATTTAACTGTACCATGTGCATACGGTGTCCAAGGAGACCAGAAAGGGGCACTGGACACTCTGGAAATAGAGTTACACACAGGTAGTTGTGAGCAATCATGTAGGTGCTAGGTGGGAACTGAACCCAGGTCCTTTGCAAGCGCAACAAGTTCTTTTAACCACAGAGCCATCTCTCCAGCGCAAGGAAAACACTTTAGAAAGCCCTAGCCATCTGACTTACTGCTGTGAATTTACACAAACTTAGGTTTTCTTATCGTGATAATCGGGCAAGAGGGGTGCCTGGTATGGTCATCAGCGCTTAGGGGCCTTGGAACTCAACACAGATGACGGAACTTAATGTGACCCTGCAGGTCTGAGGGACCAAGAGCCAGAGTTCACCATCTGTCCAGAAGGTAATGAGAGATGCATGCAGCCAGGGGAGCTTTTGACAGGTCACACTGATGGCCGAGAGAGCGCTTCTGCAGAGCAGAGGCCCTGAAGGGCCTGTGGAAAGCAGAGTCTAAGACCATCTCTGCAGTGCTTAGAAAGCGCGCCTCCCTTTGGAGTGTCAACACGTATCCCAACTCAATTCTTTTTGCCTCAGACAGTTTCTCTACATAACCTTGGGTGTCCAAGAACTAAACAGGTAAATCAGGTTGCCTCTGCTTCCAGTGAGGGGATTGAATGTGTGCCACCACGCCTGGCTCTATTTCTCAATTCTTGGCAATGATGCTCCTCAGAAACATAGCTTAGCACAGGAAACAGCTAACTAACCTACTGGTTCTCCACAACAAGCCAGACATCTGATGAGGAACTTCTTCCCAGGATGGAGTTCACCACACTTTTACTAAAAATTCAAGGTTACAGTCCTTTGAGATGGCTTCGAGCCATCATATAAATATTTGATAGGATTTTTTAAAATGGCAGTTCACAAGTACTAAAGTATATTTCATTCAGAGAAATTCTCATTTAAATTATACTGGCTTTGGTAATGGACATACATTTACATACATATAGTTTTTAGAATTGTGGACTTTGCTTGCTTACTGAGGATAATTCCCAAAAAGCCATTTCTAACATTTTGCTGATGACATCATCATTTTAAATCTGTTTCAAAGCCTTACGTGTAGACTCTAACAAGCACAAGAATGTGGGACTACTGTCTATTTTTAAATTTGACTATAAACCAGTATTTTGCTTATTCCCTTATGAATCACAGTAGCTTCTACAAACAAAATCCTGAAACCAAAAAAAAGTCATGACCAAGATTCCACGGAGAAGGGGTTGCTCGAGCAACTGTTCTCAGTCAAGGAAGGGAGGGTCCTTGGATTTCAGAGACCTTAGAGAAAAGGTCATCAGTTTGTGTTTTAGAAAAAAGGAAATAAACAAAAAAAAAACTAAAAAGGCCCAGTGACTAAGCACATATTCCATATTCTTATTGGCAATATGGTGGTGACTGGTGTATTTTACACATAAAAAAAAATACATAAACACTTAAGTTGTCATTTGTTTATTTTTCCTCTCAAGTACATTTTAGAAATAACATTTAGACATAGGCGCATGTATGCAGACACACT